TTTAATAAACCTAAGAAAAAAAACATGAAATCACGAGCCATATATGTAATCTAAGAATTAAACTCAATTATATCAATTGATAACTACGACTGATTTTAACTATTTGATAAAATGATATGTTATGAAAATATCGTATTGAAAATAATTCGTTAACAATCTTACGATTTTATAATAAAAATAAAAAATAAAAACTCAAATAAAACCAAAAAATTCCTTTTTCTTCGTCAAAACTCCCGACTAGGCATTAGGGCTTGCCTTTCTTAGTAAAACTAGCTAGCTAGGGAACACATTTGTAGCATACATTTAATTATCACAACGTGAAATAAATTCCATAAACTCATTCGTACATCTAACACGCATATAAAGATACATACACATCTTGATGTTCTTCTTCAAATATAATATTCATCTAACTTGATTTTCTTCCAATACCTAACTCAAGAAAAGTCCAAAACCCATTTTTCTCCACACAATCGAGTTGTAATTTTTGTGGTGATAATCCAAGGTTGCAACTAAAATGTCTTATTTTAGGCATATTGCACCACATTTGGTTAATGAAAATGTTATATTAGGTCAAGCAATCAAAAAGTTAATACGATGGACTTAGCTATCTATATCATAGGGTATGGTTAATGAGGACATTAATTTAATTTTATGGGTGTGATAATTATTTATTTTGAAGTGATTGTATTTGAATAAAATTGCATTAGTTGTACTTGTTTAACTTTATATGTACATTGTCGAAATCGAAATTTAATTGAAATTGAAATTGAGGTTTGAAGTGTATAAAATTGACTCCCTCTGTTCGTGATTGTCAATGCTTAATAACCTCCTAGGCATGGGAGAGAATTAGAAATGTTCAAATTTGAAGTCTATAGCTTTGGGAAAATAATGGATGGAACACTCTTTCTCCATTTATAGAAGTTTCTTTAAAGTATTTAGTGATTGAAAATTTATATATAATTTCAATTATATACAAAATTTAAGTTAAATTATATTACTATTTTAATTCAAATTTCTAATTTTAATTGAAATTCTAAGCAAGCCTAAAGTTAGCATTAGTTGAAATTCGAGGCCAACTTAGTTAAATAAATCAATTAATTTTTTTTTTAAAAAAAATCAAATTTCTATTTTAATAATTTGTTTTTGTTTTTTTTTTTTCAAATTGGAGATACATCTAAAAAGAATTTATAATTTTCTTAAAAATAAAATGAATAGCCCATAAATTCGTTAAAATATATAATAGATTGCATTATTATTTTTTTAATTCATGATCACTTTCATATTAGATTTTATAAATAATTATTTTTTTTTAATATATGGTAGACGTGTATTTACAGTGAATAAAAGCTTAGGAAGAAAAAAACAAAATGTTTTCTTGAATTGTATGTAGTCGACATCACTTTAATCAAAGTCCAAAAATAATTTGTAAGTAGAAAAGGAAATAAAATATCATCCATAACTATATATTAAAAAAAAAAACCATTTGTTTATTTAAGAAAATGAAAATTGAGACTAAGAACTATATATATATATATGTATACATATTGTTAATTAGTGGCCAAGAAATAAAGTTTGCAAAATAAACAGTCTCGAAGGTGGGCTTGAATTTATTGATGTAGTTATCCGTAGTGGTACTAAGTAATTGGACTATAGTGATTAATTTAATTTTAAATTTAAATAAATTTTATTGTATTTCTTAATGAAAACAATATTTTTACGGTAATAAATTTTTTTGGTTAAAATAATAATAATAATAAATTAAAATTTTGATATAATATATTTTCCCATGTAGCTCAAATTTTATAAGCTAAAGTTTACATAATAAAAAGGGTTATAAACGGATAAGTTAATTAATTATAAAAGTAAGAAAAATTTTGTATTTGATTATGTAACACCTTTTTTTTTTTTTAATGGTGTAGTTTATAACAAATTTATGATCAAATACTGAAATTTTGTTTCAAGTCATGCATGCACATAGAAACACCATCACACTCTATTATTCAGGGTTAAGATAGACCGGCAATTATACATGTAATATCACGTGAAATACAACTGTATACACTATCAACAGACATACTATCAACTCTACTACCAACTTTTACACATTCAATTCTGTCCATAAAGATTTTTATTATGTTACTCTATACATTAAGCTTGAAAACCAGCAACTCTGATCCCGACTCCATTCCTACACCATCTGTGAACAATAGAGGATGAGTTCATATAATTCAGTACAGTAAAAATTAAGTTACAACTATGATATGCACCAAATATGAAATCCAATATTTCTATATGTACCCATCACCCAACCTAAGGCTACCTTGTCATCACTATGGGACTACACAGGACTAAAACGTACATCGGCATCCTAAATATCATGCATACCATGTGTGACCATCCACCAACGTCATTCCAAACGTATAAATATTCACATCCGTCACCAGTATCGGCGACCACCAATAAACCGCCTATCTTTCGACCCCTAATAGGCCACACACACACACACATATACCATCATTTACCGTCACCAATATCCCTAACCAAATCCATTCCCCTCGGAGTCTCCCGACCATCACCACCATCGGCGATCAACTTACTTTTTCTAGGTAGCGACAACCAATATCGGCGTCCCCCAATGCTACCGACCCAACACAACATCATCATGTCCTTGCTCCCGTACCTTATCTTGAAGCTTTCTTATGCTTTTAACCTGTGTACCTAAACTACATCCGCCTCCCCATAAAGCACACACTAACACTTAACACACCCACACCTGTAACGTTCCCGTGCCAACTACCAAATTTACAGCAGCTATACCAACCTATATACGACCCATACCCTCACACTACACAGCTACCCCACACATCTCCTCGTCCTACACAGAGACACCCTCACACCTCCATTCCGACACTTCATTCCCACGGTCTATGACCTCTCTTTCCTCCTCCCAAACTTTCTACATCCACACGCACTACTTCTTCCCTTACACATATTTACCTCATTCACCAAATCTCTTATTCTTTCCCCTTCCACGGGCCTACTCTAGATACTCCACCCTCAAATCCCAAAATCACCTCACTCTCCTCCCATGGTACCCTCCACTAACCTCCATTTGTAATCACACAACATCTCCTCCCTCTCTTGAACCTCACTCACACCCTACACATCTTTCTTTCCCTTCTCCCGCTGCCTAGCCTCCTCCAGACGTCCTCACTCACACACAACAGCTCCTCTCCCTCACAGACCGCACTCACACACACTGCACTCATTCCTTTCTCTCCTCCTATGGCCAAGCCTCCTCCATACGCCATCACTCACACACAACAGCTCCTCTCCCTCACAGACCGCACTTACACACACCGCAGTCCTTCCTTTCTCTCCTTCCGCGGCCTAACCTCCTCCATTCGCCCTCACACATACACAAAAACTCCTCTCCCTCACGGACCGCACTCACGCACACCGCACTCCTTCCTTTCTCTCATCCCGCGGCCTAACCTCCTCCATTTGTCCTCACGCACACACAACAACTCCTCTCCCTCATAGACCGCACTCACAAACACCGCACTCTTTCCTTTCTCTCCTCTCGCGGCCTAACCTCATCCATTTGTCCTCACGCACACACAACAACTCCTCTCCCTCACAGACTGCACTCACACACACCACACTCCTTCATTTCTCTCCTCCTGCGGCCTA